CAGGTATTTAGATTTCTCTATTATGGAAATGAATTTTTAATCACGTAAATTTCTAATTATCGAGTTTATTTTCAGCCATGGAGTGGCATTTCATCATATATACTCCCGATGGAATATATGCTATAAGTAATAGCGAGCATCAGATAAATCTTTCAAGACCGCAATCAAAGAAAACCTCGATGTTCTACGGAGCAGTGTGAAAAATTTTTGTTGGGTTGTTGAAGGATCGGGTAACAGTCGATAAGTCCCCAGCCAGTAAGAAGGTTCGAATCTAAAAAGTAGCTACTGTGTTGCTTCCAGCAATATGTATTCCGGGCTAACTCCCGAACCTTTGTATTTATTTTTATATGTATTAGTGTGAGCAAGGCTTCGGCTAATAAAAATTTTCTTAGTAAATTTCGCTTATGGGCCGTGAGGAAAAACACATGATTTTTATTTTTAATATATCGCATAATTTGTAAAAAAATAATGACAACACTCACTCCGTTAATTCATTAAGAGAAATAAATGCTAAACTCTTAACTGAAATTGTAGAGCTTTAGATCAGGCTAATGGGTAATTTAAACATGTACACAAATTAATTTTGAAAATGTTATATATCATGTGAAATGCTCGTGTAACTAGTCGCTTGTATTGTATGACTGAATTACTTTACGTTACAAAAAATTATTAACGATGCTAGTGAGGCTAACTTCGTGGAGATGTGACTGTTGAGCTCTTTTCTAATAAAGGAGCATTATATAGTAGACTCATGTTTACAATCAAAATATTGCGTAATACTAATAGAAGTTCAACAAATTTTGTTACGATGACAGAATCTGACGGTTGTATGGGTACCTTGGCTTCAAGGAGATGATAGTATCTGTGAATATCTGCATTATCTCTTATTAAAACATTTAACCGCATTGTTTGACCAGCAACCTGAACCCCCACGATACCAAATTCATCTTTGTCGGGCTTACATCTCTTATGTACATAATACATCTCATCGTTAGCCTCTCGCCAAAGCTTTATTTCATCATCTTGTTCTTTTTGTTTCGTGCAAATTAGGCGTGAACATTCAATGTATAAAAGCTCGTAATTTCTCTCCCTGTGTTTCACGAAAAACATAACATCTGGTCTTCGGCCACTTCGTCCATCCCCCCTCCGATTAGCACTGGCATCACTTTGTTTTTCGAAACTGCTGATAAATGTAGATTTACCGAAAGGAAGATCTTGCAATGTTGCTCGGATGACAGGTAGAATCACGTTCGAAACGTAAGTATCTTCATTCAATGAATTAGCAAACTCAGATCCAAATGCTTGATTATTCCAAATGTCATTTCTATAACAAAGATTTATAATTAACTATCTCGCCTTTTCACGTGTTATTAATATGAAATGAAATAAATGAATAAGAATAACTATTTATATATACTTACAAAGTATTCAAAATCCTTTCTGCAACAATCGCAAGTCTATCGTCAGATTCTTTCCAAGTATTGTCATGAGATAATTTTTGTGACGAATCTGTTGTATGATTTTCGGCAAAGGTTGAAACGAATTCATCACTTTTTTTTTGAATGTGTAGTGGAGAAGATGACATCATCCGATATGCTGGTTTCATAAAAGAAAAATACAAATGTTTCGGGAGTTGTTTACTGATAACTTGACTCGCTAAAGGCTTCTTCCAAGACAATTCTTCAGTAGATATATTATGTACACCCGAAAACAAATGTTGATAAAGTGGCGTCGTGATTTTCTTGAGTTTTCCTTTCAATACTTTTATATTGTTGGTAACTTGATTCAAACTGAGAGATGTTTCTTTATCGATTTTAACCGCGCCGAGATCACGTAAACTACCTATAGTTTTATAGGAAATGTCGTACTAATGCAGGTATAAAACAAATTATTAATATATACAGTATCAGTATATAAATTCATTCTTACTATCTCGTCAGATAGAATAAGACCAACGCATGCCCCATCAGAATATAGACAAAGCTCTATCTTTGTGTGAACATAAGCCATCGTCGCAAGACCCAGGCTTAGGACAAGGTGCGGTTGTAACAGTTGTCCGTTGCAAAACCTAACCTGTCATCGCAAGATACAGGCTTAGGACGAACTGCCAATACTCGCAAGAGTGTTCGAATTCGACACCACGGATAAAACCTTGTGTGATATTAAATAACCACATATCGGTCTACAGCTCAAATACTCCTCACGCAGTCGAGAAAATTATCCTGTAGGCGGACTAACTCACGCAGTCGAGGAAGCTATCCTGTAGGCGGACTAACTCACGCAGTCGAGGATACTATCCTGTAGGCGGACTAACTCACGCAGTCGAGGAAGCTATTCTGTAGGCGGACTATGAAGTACTCAAGCTGTTTT